ACAGCTCAAGTGGGGAAAAATTATGTATAACAAATGTGCATATTGACAAATAAATTTCTAATTCCAACCAAGATCTCTGTACTTCAAAAGAAGCCGAGAGGGGTATGGGAGACACACACACGCACACTTGAGCAAATGCACAACCACTTTGCACTGTTAGCACACGCCTGCAATGCTTTATGTTGGCTGGACGCCAGTTCTCATGGAAAAGTTTGTCCACTCGGTGTTGGGCTTTATTCTCTCCCTCCCCTTTTCTCCCCTGGTAGGGTGGAATTCATGCCTTGTAAAACAGCACACTCCTCCAGCTATTCCTTCATTCAAATATTAAGCCGATAAGAACTCAAGACAAAGAAGAGAAAGGCTCTCGGCTAATATAACCCTATATTGGGCTGTTTGGAAGAAATGTGGACGTGTTCCCAAGCCTGGTTTAAGTCACCCACCGGGTCTACGTGAAACGAAGCTTCTAGGCTGGGCTCCGTTGGCCAAAAGGCTTCAACACAGTCTTTTGTATGCAAGCACTCATCTAGTCATCTAGGGTGAGGTCAGAGTAGCTGGTAGGCAACCAAGCAAAGAAGCACCTCAGGTCAAGCCAGGCACGCATTCGTTCTCCAGCGTCTTAAAGGAGCCCAATGAGTTCTCTCTACCGGAGCCAAAAGAAAAGTTGTACTTTGTGATCACTATTCAGGAAGGTTATTGCCTTACTAGGGCCCGTCCTATAGTTTGGCTAAGTGGGACACCACCCACCCAACCCTGAAGGCTCCTCTCATCCAATAAGGCAGCGTAGAGCATGCAACGGAGAAGGCTCGCTAACCGACAAGGTGGCTCCTATTTTCTTTGGGATGCTTTGCGAAACCATCGCGTTCTCTCCTTTTCTCTTTCAGGGCCAACAAACAATGAAATCATGGAATCACAGAGTAAGGGAGTTGGAAGGGGTCTCCGAGGCCATCGAATCCAACCCCCTACTCAAGGCAGGTATTCCACTCAAAGCAGATCTGACGGGTGGTGGTCTAAATTTTTCTTGGAGGCCTCCAGCGTTGCACTCTCTTGGAGGCCTCCATTGTCATACTGCTCTAACATTTAAAAGCCCAGGTTATCGCTACACTACCAGTCCACATGAGTATTTCAGCGAGTGATTTGCACAAACATATCACAAGGAGGACCAACCCACTGTACACTGTCCCACAACCTCCAAGGGGGCAGGATGTACAGGTGTCCAGGATTTCAAGAGCTCACACACAGAGAATAAAGGGGGGGGAAACCAGCAAAGAATGCAAAACCAGCTAATTATGAATTGTATTCGGGAAGAAAAGAAACTGTTGCATGTCAGGTCACTGTGTCATGCCCAGGGCTAATGGAGGAGGCACGTTGGTGGCCAGACCTAGCAATAACATTCTCTTGCTATTCGCCATCGGTCTTTCTCCTTGGCTTTTGACACTCACATAGTGCATGCGTTTGGACACTCAGGAGGCAGGGAACAACAGGGCCCGATCCTTTATCTCCAGCAGGAACCAAGCACAAGCAGGCCGACTGGATTAGGTTCCCCATCCTGTCAAGCCACCCATTCCAGCTCAAAGTCTTTCTTCTCCGCAAATCTCTGGCTTAATTTCATCCTCGGTTTGAAAACCCCAGCGGTCAACATTCGCATCCCCGGTGAATTCAGCTTTGCAATTCCGGTACTGGATCCTGCCATCGTACCTCGCAAAACTGGGGGGAATGCTCTAATTTCCTCCTACAGACATGATGCGCCATCTGGGAGGCAGAAAGGAGCACATGGCGATGCGTAGATATTCTATTTTAAGAGACTTCCACATGCACAGGTTGTAGATGCTGGGGATTTTTTTTTCCCCTAGAAGAAAAACAGGAAGCAAAACCCAATCAGCTTCACATGCTTCTCCAGTTGTTTGTGCTGGTTCTTGAGACACTCGTTCTAAACCAGGGCTAAAGCTGTGGGATCCAGACCCCTCTGAGAACAGGGTTAAGGATGATGGACAACTTCCCGCAAAATGAGGCTCTACTCAATTGCGTTGACAGTCCAGGATTTATATTTAATTTATCAGAGCCCGGGTGGCTTTGCGGTGAAAGGACTCAGCGATCGGAGTTCGTCCCCACTCGGACATGACGTTTGATGGATGATTATGATATTGATTACGATGATTATTAAGATTCTACATTTAGCACCCTTAAAGCCATTTTGGGACGAGGGGAACTAAAAAATATATATATCAAGTTCTATAGCAACAGCATCTACTGGCTACTGTCTCTTCTTGTAACCACTTTAATATTTTGGGGGACTTGGTCTATAAATGTATATTCCCTTCCCCATTGTGCCTCCAGAGGAACCCTAACCCTCTCAAGAAACCCCAAGGGCTCAGGTCTTTCCAAATTCACCCTGAAAAACCAAAGTTAACATCCCATCTCATCCAGTTTCCTCTGAGCTACAGAGGTTGGGGTCATGGACTGGAATCCAGTTCCTTGTCTCAAGTAGAGCGGACCTGCCGAATTGGCGTCTCGTAGAGAAATGTGGACTTACCCATTGACCGGTTGATTGAACGGGTCCTGCTCTAGCTGTGACAAATAGGTGGATTCAGGATTTGACCATCCTGGGCTTGTCCAAGACTCAATAGAAGACTCCCTTCACAGCAACACTGTGAGGGAAGATCTACTGAGGGAGTCTGGCTGTACCAAGGTCAAACTTCCTAACTGTTAGAGCAGTACGACAGCGGACCCAGTGACCTTGGGAGTTGGTGAGGGCTCCAACACTGTGGAGGCATTCAAGAAAAACTTAAGTTAAGCACCTGGCAGATCTGCTTGGATTGTATTCCTGCCTTGAGCAGGGGGTTGGACTTGATGGCCTCGTAGGCCCCTTCCAACTTCACTTTTCTATGATTCTACCAGTGGAGACTCAAACCTGGAACTCCCATGTCTCAGTCCAACGCTCTGACCACTATACCAGTCTGCTTCTCTTGAGCGTTGCACAGCAGAACCCCTTGGGCACTACCGCACATGGGCATGTCAGCCTTTTGCGCGCCACATTCCCACAGAACCAGATCAAGCAGCATTACTCCTCCCTTCTGCATGAACTCTGGGCCAAGCCACACACTCTCTGTTCTCTCCTAATGAACGGCAGACAGAGATGGCTACGAATATGGATCAGAAGAGCTGTGAGTAGACAGGAGGTCACAATCAACTTCCTCTCCTTCTGGCAGGAAAACCAGGTGATCAGTCTCTCTCTGGCTGGCCGCAAGGCTGTTTACCCGGTGGGGAGAAAACGCCTGAGCTGGAGGGGTAGGGGATTTTTCCATGAAAAAGAAAAAGAACAGCATGGAGAAAGTACTCAACAGCCTATTCTTGTTTCCTTCCACACATGCACACACCCTGTGCACCAGTCCGAAGTGGCAACCCCCTCCCAATGGCTGTGATTCATTAAAGGGGGGGGGACAGGGAATGTCCACAAATCCAATCAAGGATTGTGTCATTTCTACCTCCAAGATCACTCAAAATGCTCAGTCAGAAAGAAAACTCCTGCACGTGGCTTTCATCATCTTTTGTTTACCAAGGCTGGCTAGAATAGCACAAAACCATCTTCTATCACTCCCCCACCCCCGCACCAAATCCTCCTAGCATTTTACCATCTCTGTGTTGTATTTACCCTTCACAGAAAATGTACATTTCTTCCACAAGCACAGACGCCCAAATACACAGAGAGAATGAGAGGGAGGCTGACAGGCCAAGTCTAAATAGCTCAGCCTCCACTCTATTAAATGCCAGGTAATTGTCCCACGATCAAGGAACAGAGAATTTATATAAGCATCTGGCCTCATTTTAAGAGACCACGTTTTCCTCTTTAAACTTGAAAGCCGCACGGCTGATTCTATCCAGGTTCAGTCGTCCGGTTGCGGGCAAAGGAAAATGTAAAATACGTAGGAAAAGGTTTGGTTTTCTACCCAACGGAAGCAAGAGGTGGGCTCCAGAATTTAGAGGTATTGCAGCTTTTTCACCCAGACTCACAGGCAATGGAAGGAGGCACAGGACCCCAAAAAAGTTACTTCTGCCCCAATTCTTAAAATGTGTGGGTTCCTACCCAGTCAGCTGTGCACCATATGGAGTCAATTACTCCGAGTGTCAGTCAACAGTTCTGGTGGGGGGAGCTGACCATTGTAGGGGGGCCGGCTAAGCACACATACCCCCCTTTTTAACTGAAAAATGCTTCTAGAGTGTATGTTTCGGGGTTAATTTTGCCATGTCCTTGAGGGCCTCAAAGCTAAGCAAGATTTCCACATCTCTGAGCAACGGGCAACCTCTCGGGCTTAAGAGCAGGAGCATAAACATTTCAACCAGATTACAAAGCTGCTCAAGACACCAGCCTCAAGAGGAGTTACATGAACTCTCAAAGACAGATGCCATCCATTTCTAGTTTTGTCTACAATTTTTTTTCACACAGTCCACAGGGGAGCAGTACTTAAGCCTGAAGAAGTGGAATTTTATCCATGAAAAGCTTGTGATTTGTTTAATTTTTAATGGTTCAATAAAAGCTCTTGGTACAATAACCTGCTCTTGTGTTCATCCCACCCATGTAGTCGTTCGTTATTCTACATCAAGATGACAAAATTGTGTGTGTGTGTGTGTGTGTGTTTGTTTTCAGGTAACATCATGTGACTTGAGGATGCATGTGACAAGCATCTAACCCTTGTGTTTCCAAACCAAGTTTATGCAGAATTAATCATCATCTCCCTCCTCCAACCACCAAGACGAGCACCTCAACTTTAAGACCTTGCTTTTCTTATAAACATGAATTGAAGTGAAATCCACCTCCCACCCCATCCCAATCCTCGAATCAAACTGAGTGGAGCCGGTACAGATGGATGAACATTTCAGAAGTTCATTTTGGAAGAATTTATCAAAATCGCAGTAAATGCATTTTCAGGACAAAAAAAGAGAGACTTTTTTCAGAATCAGGAGAAAGACGAAAAGCTGGAAGTCTCCAGTTGCCTCACTCTTACCTGCCAAGAACCTCAGTTGATTCTTCACTCTTAGTTCGCCGTTTCCAGAAGCCGCTCCACCCCCACAATCATCTTCATCGTCACAGTCTCCGCTTTCGGCCTCATCCTCAGCCTCTGCCTTCTCCTGCTTTCTCCGGCGAGGGATGGACATGGCTTTCAACAGCTGGAAGAGAAACACCAGTTGATTGAAAGGGACTTCTTTCGGAGATGAGAGCCATCGAGGCGGTCGTGGCAGTGCTGGTTGGCTACATTTATACCCCACCGTCTCCTCTGGTGAGGACAAGGCTGTGGAAATTGAGTAGGTCCAAGTTGAGAGAACATAAAATAAAGTACTTACTTGTCAGAGCACCTTTACTCAAGATTATCTACCACATCACCAGATCCACCAAGGCAAGGCTCCTCCGGAGGGGGGGCACTCCAGAGGAGGCCAGAAAACCATCTACAAGAAGTCGGGTCTTCTCAGCGGTGGCCCCAAGACTTCAGCATCAGCCCCCGGCTCCCTCCCTCCCAACTTTCAGGAGGCTTCGAAGGACCAACAATCACTCTTCAGAGAGGTCCCTCCCTGATGCAACCCTGCTTGACTTTATTATTTTTGCCTTTCCTTATACATGGAAATATGACATCTTCTTGGTTGTACGATTTAGAGTCATTTTTTTTCCCTGCCTTTACTTCTTTTGTTTTGTTTTATGATGCTACTGTAGTTTGTTTATGGTTTGTGTCATTTCCCTTTACGTGCATTCTGCATGGCCCAGAAGGAGAACCGCCTAGAGTAGACCTTTGGTCTAGATGGGCAGCACAGAAATCCAATCAATCAATCAATCAATCAATCAATCAATCAATCAATCAATCAATCAATCAATCAATCAATCAATCAATCAGTCAGTCAGTCAGTCAGTCAGTCAGTCANATTCTTTATCAGCCTCTGAGCTCACCCTAACTCGTACCCAATGAGCTTCATGGCTGGGGATAGGGATTTGAACCCAGGTCTCCTGGGACTTGGTCCAAAGAGAGGGGACTGCGGGTCCAGACAGCACCTCTTCCAAAAGCCTCTGTCTTTTCTCTAGCACCTGCTGCTTGAATCCGTTTAACTGGAAATGTTGGAGAGCTAAACGCGGGGCTTTCTGCATTCGGAACATAAGCCCTATCCTCGGCTTACAGCCCCTCCTGCAGAATTCAAATTCCATTGCCCTGGCTCTGAACTGCAGCCCTCGAGCACAAAATAAGAGGTGCCAATTGCCAACAGTTGGAAGTCTGTCCAAAATAAAGGAAACCGCAGAGTCTCAACCAGAGCCATACCAGAATTGTCAAAATAACGCGATCTGTTAGGATAAGGGGGCAGGCAGGTGTCTGTCCCCTCCCCTTCTAGAAGGCTACAGACTCTGGAATATAAACTTCCATGCTCTTTCCCCCCTCCCCTTTAAAAATAAAAGGATCAAACACCAAAATTAATATTGCAAGATTATATTCTTAGTGCAGGAAATGATTTCATCAGTGTCTAGAATACCTACATCTCTTTGTACATTTTAAAAGCATTCCAAGTATGCGAAGCTAGACTTTGGGGGGAAAAAGTGTTTCTGGAGGGGGATAAAATACTTTGATTGAGCCATTTATGTAACCTTGAAGCTAAACTTCTGATGTCTCCTGGTAGGCGCCTTGCATCCCATAAATATGTTTGTCCTTGTTTGTCTTAGAGGAGAACTCTTTAAATAAGAGGCCAGTCACTTGTTCCTGGAGGCATTTGTCCTGCTATTTGGTGCCAGGGGGTGGTTCACTCCCCCCCCATGACCACACAACATAATTGCCCCCAGAGAGCCCAAACCCAAACCTTTCTGTTCCCCTATCAAAGGCTTCGACTTTTTGGGTGCAGGTGGGTGAGTCCTAGTTTAGTCTATTCCTAATGTGTGCAGTCACTGAGAACAGACTAAAATGGAGCCTTGTAATTGTCAAAGCTCCTTCCACTGTCAATTTCTGGTATCCTGAAGTGGCTTAATAAGCAAGCCACTTCAGGATATCAGCAAACTGAAGTACTTCTCTAGCTCCTGCATGTTTTTTACTCTGCTAGATTACTGCTGTTGTGATGAATCATTTAGATTTATTTTAATGGTCTTTGTGTGTGGGCAGTTTCTCGATTGTCACTACGCACAAGGCAAAGAACTGTTTTTAATTTAATCTAAGTGATTAAATGCATCATCGATGGTGTAACATGGGGAAAAACAATGATTTCACTTCCCCTGACCCTCTACAGAGGAGCAGAGAAAGTGTTCAACTGTCAGCTGAAGGAGCCGGAGGGTCACTTAGGGGTCAATATATCGCTGCTCCTGCCCCTGAACTCAAGTTTATTTAGGCTGCACCAAAAGGGCTAGTGAGGTTGGACCCTTAGATTGAAACCAGACACTCCACCCCTAATAACAAGTATGTTAGATACCCACAGATGGTTGTGTTTACAGCTTAGAAAATTTACTCTCTTTTTTTGGACTATACATCCCAGAATCTTCCCGGCAGCTGAGTACAAGCCACGCTGGTTGGAACTCAGAAACCTTTACAACCTCTAGTTAGAAGCGCCCCAACATCTCGGAACCATCTATTGCCTGCCCATAGCTGAACATTGTCTTAATAAAATGCTCGCTTTCTCTACTGCATTTTGACCAGCATGCAGAAAGGTTTCAACATCCACCAGAAATCGGAGCCGCAAGACATACCCATTTCTAATTAAGTAACAATTATGATTTGCAAAGAATATTCCCCTTTGGTGACTTCTCTGCCTTTAAATAGGAGCCATTGCTAAGCCCTACCCTGCCATTACCATTTGCTGGCATCTTGTGGGGAAAGGCAGGAAAATATATAACCCAATAATCAGTAAGCACGATGTAACAATAAGCGGGTTTTAAACTTAATGACAATTTACCCAGCTGCAAGGGTTTAACTGAGACATCCTTTCTTACTCTTTGCCAAACCAGAGTGACGGGGAGAGAAACCATCGCCAGTGGAGGGCCCAGGACTTAAAAAGAAACTGATCCATTTTAGGGCATATCTTTGTGTGTGTTCACACACGACAGCCAACGAGATTGTGAACGGAGAGGCACAGAGCAGCCGGAGCTCAAGAAAAAAAAATATTAACTCCCAATCTCCTCTGTGCCCCTCCAGTCTGCCTTAGAACGCCCCCCCCAACTCTGAAGATGGCTGACCATTAGCCTTGCCAGCTAGGACTAACAGGCGTGGAAATCGCAACCATCTGGAAGGAAAAGCTGTAAATATGGCCAGCTTCTGCTTTTCCTCCTTAGGAAAAGTGTTAGAATCCTAGAATCATGAAATTGGAAGGGGTCTGTGAGGTCATCGAGTCTGACCCCGTGCTCAAGGGAGGAATCCACATCAAAGCCGATAGGACAGAGGGTGGCCCCATATTCTCTTGAAGGCTTCCTGCGTTGGAGCGCTCACCGCCTCCCGAGGTCATGGGTTCCGTGGTCGTATTGCTCTAACAGTTAAGATGTTTTTTTCTGATATTCCATGGAAATGTGGCTTTCTGTCACTTGAGCCATCGCACGTCCTGCACTCGGGGATGATTGAGAACAGATCCTGCCCCTCCTCTATAGGACAGCCTTAAAAACCCCATTCAAACATCGTTTTGCGATTGCTTTTGCGATTGCAAAATCATCATCGTGAAGCGGATTCATCGTTAAACGGGGTAATCGTCATGCGGGGCACGACTGTAGTTGCAAGGTTCTGTCCCTTAGTAGAAATCTCTCCATTTCCTTGTAGCTGACGGTTATATTTTTTTAACACCGATGGGAAGCTGCAAAGGGCATCTAACAAATATCTTGGAAACAGGGCATATTCGTGAGGGGAAAGCCAGGTATCCATAGGGAAGAACCTTGTCAGGTCCTTGAAGCTAGTTCCAACTTGGTACCCATGGCTGGCTGGTCCAACGACACCAGGAAAAGTCAAACCTATCTATTCACTTTTTCTTTGGCCATTTCTGTGTCTTCTTGTAAGGGCCAGCCATACTTCCTAGAGGCTTTCAGGAGAAGCATTTTGCTTCTCTTTCATTTTCTAGTGAAAGAAATTAATATTTTGATGGTGGTGGAAGTCGTTGAACAGGGCCCACAAGAACCAGGGCACAACTGTGTGTATCTTATCCCTGTATTTATTTGAACTTTGTGGCACCCAAAGAAAAGTCTACACAGAATCTGAAAATCCCCATGAGACAAAAAGCTTTTCTCTTTCACTAAGGTCTGCAAAATATATGTGTCCAAAACGGGTGTTTTTTCTCCTTGAGCAGTAAAGCAAGCAGCGAGGAACACACGCATGAAAAGTCTGGCTGATGGTTAAGAAAGAAGCAAGCAATCCATCCAAGACGTCTGTGTTTCCATGAAGCCAAGAAAGAGACCTCCTAGTTTTGCACGAGCGCCGTACGAATGTTGAGCAGAAACAGTTCTCGCAACTTCACGACGAGAATTAAAAGCTACAGAATCTCTCAGGAAGTTGAAAAGAACCATCCCATTTCCCTCCTGCAAGGGCAAAACAGATCAAAATGGGTCGCCCTACCCAAAGAGCTTGTGCTGGTTTAATTGCACACCCAGATTTTTTGATCGTAATGAAATACAAATCTGCTCTTCTAAGAGCACTTGAAAACAAAACAAAACAAAAGGAAAACAAAAACTCTCCTTAAATTAATCCCATGCAAAATGATGACCTCAAGCAGTAAAAGAACCATTTTACAGACAGGATTTGTGTGTGTGTGTGTGTGTGTGTGTTGAAAGCAAGGTCTCCCTTTGGAGTCTGCCAAAGCAAAACCCTGAATTAACATTTATACTCTTCTGAGGCACATAGTTCTCCTTTAATTTAGTCTGCATGACTGAAAAGAATTTAATAAAAATATGTTCCAAAGACCGTAGCTGAAATTCCTGGCATATTTTTCCGTAAGTCTTTGGACGGGGATCAAGCACAGAGATTGGGAAGGGCTGATAATCAGTCTGCAGCTAAAACAAGGCCTCAAATGGCTGGGAAAATTGAAGTAAGAAAGACAAAAAGAGGTAATACAGGAAGCGGGGGAGATAAACTGGGGGTATTTGGAGGGGAGTAACATTGAGAAGTATTATTCCATACTTTTTACACATTGTAGGAGCAGCCTCTATAGCCATGATGACTGGGGACAATGGAAGTTGT